TGATCATACTCTTAGGAAAGGGGCGGATTCAATGAACGGGTAAATTTCAGTCGTGGATTATGGGTTCCCGGTCTCAGGAAGCATGTTGATAAAGTTGAATCGGTGTTGTAACCATGAGAGAGTTCCCGGCTTTCGTGGATATCTCTCTAGTCCTTCGGTCTTAGCCAGGAGGTTATGGATTTTTATGGCATTATTTGTGCTCCTCTACAGAGGTTATCCAGCTGGGGCTCGAGTTTGGAGCCGCCTTGTTTTCGGATGGAGGGTTAAACAACAGAGGATGTTCAAGGGTCCAGAATCCGCAGTGGATTCAGCAAGGTAAGTCCGGATCGGAAGGGTTTCATATGGTTCGGATTGTGAGAGATATCGTATCATCTGCGTTCCAAGATGGTTATGCTTTCCTAAGAATCAGTTGAGGTAGTGGATGTCTGAATTGTGTGAAGGTGGTGATGGTTTCTCTAGTAATGAAAGTTAGCAAATCAAAGATGGTATGGGTAGGCAGCCGCCGGAATGAGCCGACTTGTAGTTCGGATCGGGTCCTGGGGAAGGACCGTCTGAGTGACCCGAGGCGGAGAAGTGGAAACACTACTCTGGGCAAGTTACTACAGCATACTTCGAGGACGAAGTCTAATTCAAGTGGGGGAGAATTTTAACATCTGATTTTGAAGTACTTCCATTATTGATCCTTAAATTGAGATACATTTCATTTTGGTCCCTAAGTTCAAGAGAGTGTGCAAAGGAGCCCTAATGACATTTGTGTAATTTTGGCCTTGGAGTACGCCATGCGTACGTGGTGTATGCTGAGCGTACTAGGGTGCGCCCGAGTACACTGGGCGTACTTTCCAAATAAGGAAAACCCTAATTTTTAGGGTGTCTCGTATTTAAGCACTCTTATGGCCTCATTTCACCCACCTTAACTACCTCCATCCCTCTCAAACGTTGGTGCAGCCCTAGTTTCACCTTGAGGAGCCATTTCAAGCTTAGAAGTGTGTTTTTGGTGCCTTAGAAGAAGAAGGTATGAAGACAATGTGATCTTGAAGGAGTGGAACACTTGGATCTGGAATTTCTACATCATTTGCAACCATTCTAAGGTATAAAGCTTGCAACTTTATCCCTCTAGCATATAGATCTAGTTTTGGATGTTATTATGGAGCTTTTTGGTCCCAAAATTCTAGATCTTAAATATGGCAAGTTCTTGACCTTCGAGTTGTCCTTTTAGACCCTACGAGGGGTCTTAAGTCATAAAAATGGGTTCCAAATGGTTAGTTTTGCTTCATGCATTATTTAGAAGGCCTTAATGGAATAATACGTTGTGTTAAGCACTTATTGGACATGCTAGGTCATAAAGTTGGAGACTTTATGACTCCTAAGAATATTTTAGGCATGGATCTGAAGTTTGGACGTAAGAGCATAAGCCATTAAGCTCTTAATGGAATTTTTGGCTTGCAAGGGTACGCCCCGCGTACTTGGAGTATGCCCTGCGTACGAGGTCAACCACCCCGATAGTGGTCAACTGCGAGGCTGCATGTATGCCTACCATACCTCCAAAGTACGCCCCGCATATGCAGTCTGGGTTGACTCGGTCGAGTTGACTCAGTTGGGTCGACTCGGCTGGGTTGACTCAGTTGACTTATGGAATTTGACCAATTTTGAGCTCAAGGGTATTTTGGGATTTTGGTTGTGATTGGTCACTTGGATGGATAGGTGTTGGTTGGAGATGAGATTCGGAGTCGGGACCTCATCAGCTATGGATCAGATGAAGAGGTGAGTTTTACTCACTGTACTTTCGGGTCGAAGGCACCAAGGTCGGTCCATTAGATTGTTATCAAGGTTTATTATATGTTAGTATGTTGTAGTGACCTGTTAGATATGTATCCTGGTATATAGAATGATGCTACGCTTAGTGATCTGTCAGATCTCTCTGATTGTCTGTTGACTGGTTATATGTTGGTTGGTGGTTGAGGTTTTACTATTATGTGTGTGAGCTAACAGACCGGGGGCATTCCAACCTGATGGTTGATTGGGCCCAAGGGTATTCCATCCCGAGGATGACCAGACATGTTGAATATTGGCATTCCAACACGATGGTTGATTGGACCAACATGCTTATGATACGAGGGTATTCCATCCCGAGGATGACTGGGCCCATCGTAGACATGCCTGGTATTCCAGCCTGAGGTTGATTAGGCCAAGCATGAGTATTTGAGCATGCTTGTTTGTATATGTTATCTATTTTTGTGGTGGTATTTTAGGGGAACTCGCTAAGCTTCATGCTTACAGCTTTGGTTTATGATTTCAGGTACCTCAGTGGATCGTGGCAAGGCGAAGGCGTGACCGTACATATCCTTGGTTTTCGACTGATTTGATCTTGGGAGACTCTGATTTTAAATAATGTTTTGAAAACAATAGTTTTGTAACACTTCTATTAGTAAAATGGTTGTTTTGAAAAGTTTCAAATTTGTTGAATTTTTTGGATGTTACAAATGTCTCGTCAGTTTTTCCCTCATTCTCCTTTCACTCGCCAAAAGGCAAGAAATGATCACCTTTCACTTTTATTTTTGTTTAATAAAAATAATTAATTTTAAAGATTTCTAATTAAAAAAATTAAATATAATTTCTTAAAAATGATTAATAAACATAAAATTTAATTAAAATTAAAATACTTTATTACTTAGAAAAATTACATAAAAAGGATACATAAAAAACATTCACGATTTAAAAAAATAATAATAATAAATAAATAAAATAAAAAACACAATATTGTATAAACACAACCTAGATTTAATAAAATACAACCTACAAAACGTGATTAAGAATTACATAATATATGTATTTGAAAAAAAAACAGAATATGTCACTCGCAATCGTTGTCCTCATCATTGTCATCCGAATCCTCGTCTGAGTCCTCGACGAATATATCCGAATCTTCATCTGATTCGTCAGATAAATCATCGTGCTAATACTTTGTTTGGGGCTGTATGTGGGCCCTATAAACATGCTCCATCAAATCCGCACAAAGGAAATGATGAATGTCGCGATAATGTACTTCTTTTCTATTTTCCCTATACTCTTGCGTACCAACGGCTACTCCTTCGATGTATGGCAAAACTTCGTTTTCGTTGTATCGACATATCTCTCTTTCTTCGTCTTCAAGAATCATATTATCTAATATGATGCACGCGTACATTATGTGTTGCAACATTTTCAATTCAAATGATCGTGCCTCGACTGTTAGTTCTTACCGACGCCTCTTGAGTACACCAAATGTTCGCTTCACGTCCTTCCTATCTGACTCTTCTGCATGTTTACACTTTTTTCTTTTTTTGTCGTTCGGGCATGTGAACGATTTTGTTGGTGATTTTAGTGTCACCATGTCATTTTAAGTAACTGGAACTAACATGCGAGCTAAAGGTATTCATAATTTGTACTCTAATATATGTACGGGGTTGTGCGGAGTTCACGCATGTATATGATCGAATTAGAAGCCGGTTCGACAACTAGTCGGGGGTTCGGGGGCAGCGCCCTTGGGTTCGGGATTTCCAAAGGGGCAGCGACCTTTTGGCGGGTTCTAGGGGCAACGCCCCTAGCGGGGTCCAAGGGGCAGAGCCCCTGACTAGGGCCCCGCTCTCACAGAATTTTACATATGGGGACATAGTGGAAAATTCAATTTCTTGAGGGTGATTATGGTAAAACTAACAAAACTCGTTAGTTTTGATAACCCTAAATCCTCATTAAATTCGGATTATCCTGACTTGCTTCCAAAGCAACTAATGACGGCCTAACCCTAATAAAACCCTAATCTCGTCTAATATGTAAACTGCTCTTCCTTCTCAGAAGAGGGTTACGAATTTTAGCTCTCGTTTTTATCAAGCTCTCATAGAATTTCTCTAGCAAATTGGCTTACGATTTCTGTTCCTAGGATCGAAAGTGTCCGCTTGGATTATCCTAGGCTGAATTTCTTGCAACCCAGACATAGGGTAGAAATATCAGTTCGGAAAGTATTCTCACGATCCAAGTTGGTATCCAGATCTCCGCCACAAACCCTATATTTTCCTACACGATTTCACTAAAACATATAAGGTAGGATATATCCCGTCAGTAAGATAGTATTCGTGCTTTGAAAAGGTACAAATGCGTTTTTATATGTATAAATATGTATTTATACATGTGCTTATTTAATAATATTAATAATAATGAATTTTAAAAATAGTATATTTATTTATATTTTTAAGTAAAATAATAAAACTAATAATAAAAATAAAAATAAATGTTTTATAGAAAGTATCAGTTTACGAAATAATCCTAAATTAATTTGCTTTCGGTTGAATTAAGAGAAAATGATTGGAAAGCAGCATTTTTATCAGCTTTTTTAGATTTTTTTTTGTAAAAAAATAATAATTTGAAACTATTTTGTAAGTTCGACCTCAAAATATTTCAAAATATTAGGATTTTCTAAGTTGTTATGTCGATAATCTTTATTACTTGAATTACTCCAACAAAGTGCTATGGATTGGCTGTAAAAATGGAAAATCATAATCTCTCTATTTGAAAATTTATTTAACTACTAAAAGCATAAACATTAATTCGTGATTGTAAAATAAATTATTAGATATAGTTTTATAATCTTGTTACCGCATGATTAAATACTACACGTTGTTAAAGCCTCTCTCTCTCTCTCTCTCTCTCTCTCTCTCTCTCTCTCTCTTCCGAATTTGTGGTTGTGGAGCACAAACTTCACCATTGACTTAACTGTATAATCTGAGGATTATTTGTTTGTAATCTACCATTCGACCTGTGAATAAATGAAAATGAGAAAATCTATAAACCATTCCCATCCCTATAATCCCTCCCCATCATTCCCTCCAAAAATCATCTCGTTTCCACACCGCTATCATCCCTTTTGCAATCTGTCATGACCTTTCTCTCTCCTTCTCTTCTCTTGATCTCTTTCCATCTCTGTGTTTCACTGACTCTCTCTCTCTCTCTCTCTCTCTCTCTCTCTCTCTAAACCTTTCTTTTCTTCAACCTTCCAAAACCCTATTTTCCTCTCTGTTCTCGTCGTCGCCAGGTAACACCATCCGATCGTGTAATGGGGAACTGTTGTTCCCAAAAAGAACCTCCAACTGAAGATGGGCACCCAAAAACCGAGGATAATAATGAAGAAAGATCCGGAAACGATCCAACAAGAGCAACACCTCAAAGCGCATCTCCATCTCCAACAAAAAAATCAGGCAAGCCATCCCCTATTGGCACCGTCTTGGGACGCCCAATGGAAGATGTCCGGACAGGCTACACCATCGGCAAAGAGCTCGGTCGGGGCCAGTTTGGTGTCACCCATTTGTGCACGAATAAACAGACAGGAGAACAATTTGCATGCAAGACGATAGCCAAGCGAAAACTTGTAAATAAGGAAGATATGGAAGATGTTAGGAGGGAAGTACAGATTATGCATCATTTGAGCGGGCAGAATAATATTGTAGATCTTAAAGGGGCATTTGAAGACAAGCACTCGGTGCATTTGGTGATGGAATTGTGCGCTGGTGGAGAGTTATTTGATCGGATTATCGCCAAGGGTCATTATACCGAGAGGGGTGCTGCATCGTTGCTAAGGACAATCGTTCAAATCGTTCATACTTGTCATTCTATGGGTGTTATTCATAGAGATCTAAAGCCTGAAAACTTTCTTCTTTTAAGTAAAGATGAAAACGCTCCCCTCAAGGCTACAGATTTCGGTCTATCAGTGTTCTATAAACAAGGTTATACATATCTCCATTATATTCTATACATATGTTTTATATTTTCCCTGCACAAAATGGAATTCACAAAGAGATGACAATTCCAGAAGCAATTAATTTAAGCAAAACTAATTTGTCCCTGTTCCCAGATGCATAGAAAGACAACCAAAACACTAAATATATGTAACATGCATTATATGAATTAATCTTAGCGATTTAATGCAGGCGAGGTATTCAGTGATATCGTTGGAAGTGCGTATTATATCGCACCCGAAGTCTTGAAAAGAAAATACGGGCCAGAAGTTGATATCTGGAGCATTGGTGTCATGTTATATATTCTTCTATGTGGAGTTCCTCCTTTCTGGGCAGGTATGATTATGGTACATATTGTCTATAATTTTTTAAGCAATTATGATAGAGATTTCTTATATCAGCAAACAAATAACCATGCATCGATATCGATGAAATTAACAAATTATATGTTACAGAATGTGAGCATTGGTTTTAAATTGATAACAAAAAAACTAGCTACAATAATTAAACTGAAGAAACTTTTATGTCACAGAATCCGAGCATGGAATATTTAATGCAATCTTACGTGGGCAAGTCGATTTTTCAAGTGATCCTTGGCCTACGATATCTCCACAAGCCAAGGACCTAGTTAGGAAGATGTTAAATTCCGATCCAAAGCAGCGGTTGACTGCACATCAAGTTCTTTGTAAGTAAAAAAGACATAAATCTGTAAATATTGTGTAATGAGAATCTATCAATATCATGATAGATGAAATATATCTTGCAACTGTTTTCTTCAGCTCATCCATGGATTAAAGAAGATGGTGAAGCACCAGATAAGCCACTTGACAACGCTGTTATGGGTAGACTAAAACAATTTAGAGCAATGAACAAGTTCAAGAAAGTCGCTCTTCGGGTACTTATTAGTTATTACTCCATCTAATACGTCATTATGCTTCAAAATCAAAGAAATTTTCTATGTTTTGAAGCTACAAAAGAAAAGCGCCAAAGGGGATTATGATTTTGTGATTGTTCTTGAATGAATAGGTTATTGCTGGATGCCTCTCTGAAGAAGAAATCATGGGACTGAAGGAAATGTTCAAAGGCATGGATACTGATAACAATGGAACAATAACACTCGAGGAGCTAAAGCACGGACTTTCTAAGCAAGGGACAAAGCTAACAGAAACCGAAGTCAAACAATTGATGGAAGCAGTAAGATAATCGTACCAAATTTTCTTGATTATTTGAGTTCTTATTTGAATAAAAAAAATTGATCAAAATAAAACAGGCTGATGCAGATGGGAATGGAACAATAGATTATGACGAGTTCATAACAGCAACAATGCATATGAACAGAATGGATAGAGAAGAGCATCTCTACACTGCATTCCAATACTTCGATAAAGATAACAGCGGGTAACTTAGTAAACCTAGAATCCTCAATCTAAACAAATAGATAATTAGTTACTTGTAATATTTGACTGTTTTCTTTGATGTCAGTTACATAACTATTGAAGAACTGGAGCAAGCAATCCGGGAATATGGTATAAGCGACGGTAGAGATATAAAAGAAATAGTATCCGAGATTGATAGTGATAACGTAAGTAGTCAAATAATATAAGAACATCAAAATTTCCTTACAATGACATCAGAATGCATGAGGCCAGTGAATTGACCATAAATTTTGCAGGATGGTCGGATCAATTATGATGAGTTTGTGGCAATGATGAAAAAAGGCAACAAAGAAACTAGTGTACATCCAACAAAGAGGCGAAGAGATTCCTTTGTTCCAACATTCTGAGTTTGCTCATTGCTTATATGGGTGGGAGTACATATAGCAGTTTAGCATCTTTCAAAGATGAGAAGGCTCTTCATAATATACTTGGAATTTGCTGCAAAATACATGTCCCCTCTGCTGAAGTGTGGATAATGACGAAATAGGTTTTGATCTCCAGAGAATAAACCACTGGTAGGGATATGGGTTTGTGGTAACATATTCAGCGGATATATTAGTCATGTGTATACTTGTAATACTAAGAGGAAACAAGTAACATTTGATGGGATCTAGTTGGGTGTTTAGACACATACCCAACTAGCTAATTCCAATCATGTTTATAGACTAATATCTAACTTATTTGTGTTTTTAGTCTTTGGTGGATTTTGTTGTTCAAATACAAATCAAATTCACTGCACTACTACTGACTAACTGAAGCCGGATAGTATGAGATTAGTAAATGGAGGAATTGATTTCTCGATAATGACCGGCAGAATGCCCACTCAAATGTTACTTGTCAACTTATTAATTATCCATTTCAAATTTCAAATTTTATATTTCCACTCTAATTACATTAAATTAATAATTGATTATCAATTTCTAATTTCAAACTTTAAAATTCTCACTCTAATTAAATTAAATTAATAATTGATTTTAATTTTCAATTTTTCTCACTTTAATTATATTAAATTAATAACATTAGATTGAAAAATAAAATAAAATTAATACATATTATAAGGTGATATAACTTCACGTATTTATTTAAATCAACGATTATAATTTTATATAACTAAAAAAATATCTCTTAACTAATAATTTATTTAAAATAATTGATTAATAATTTTGATTTTTTAATAAAATTTAATTAATTGTATAACTGTGGTTCTCACGGGTTATAAACTAGTTGATTATATGTAAATAAGCAATAACCAAAACAAACAAAAATGTGGAAACAAAGTAAAATACCAAACGAAGAACACCATGATATATGCAACACCCTCAAATCTATATGGACAACCATTATACAATGAATAATAGAACCTAAATGTAATACCCCGAATTTATACAACGAGAATTAGCAACTAAACGATACCCCAAGTTTATACAACGAGAATGAGTTTATACAACATAACAACAAGAATTAGCAACGAAACGAACAATGAAATATAATAAGCTGAGACTATGTATTTTTATCTGGGTTAGTTTAGTAAATTAATTGGTGTAAGCATTTACTTCGACCTTTAGAAATTAAAGGGTGCGATGGTTGAATTTAAATAGATGTGATATATGTTCAGTGTCTGGTCGAATGGTTGTATTAATAGAAAGGTGTGATAGTGGACAATTACTAAAGGGACACGCTGGTTCAATAATCTAGAGGTGTTATTCGGTCGGTTTTTTCAGTTTTCGGTTTAATTGGTTTAGGTTTTTTGGTTTTTACATCTTAAAACTAACCATAACCAAACCAAATAAGGTTCGATTTAATCGGCTTTGGTTAATTCGGTTATAGTTTATTCGGTTTGGTTTACTGGTTAAACCGAATAAAATCCCGTATGTAAAAATAAATATTAAACTAAAAGAAAAAAACTTATTAAACTTTTGCCAAATGAAAAAAAAAATAGATTAATACATAACATATTATATTCGATTTTTCATTATATGTTGTATTGAAGTATCGATGTAATCATACAACATTTATGTAACGTCCCGGAAAATACAAAGAGAATTTTCATTTTTAAAATAGATTAAAACTACAAGAAAAATGCTAATTAGTGACGAAAACGAAATGGTCATTAACAATAGAAGGACTCGTCATTAAACGATTTAGTGACCAAAAATTTTGGTCGTCACTTTTCGTCACTATAGGTTCGTCAAAAAAAATCTATTAGTGACCAAAATGTAAAAGTAGTCACTAAATAGTGACTAAAACATAATGGTCACTAAATCTATGATGACCCGTTTCGTCACTAAACAATGAAAGTCGTCATTGATTTATCCAATTAGTGACCGTAGAAAGTTATTACTGTCTTATCCGATTAGTGACCATAGAAAGTTGTCATTGGTTTATTCAATTACTGAACATAAATTGTCGTCACTGTGAACGCCACCTAGATCACCATACAAGATAAACTCTTACGCCATATTTCTAAACTAGAACTTTGACAAAAAGTCAGCAAGTCAAAACTCAACCCTCAAAGTCAACGGTCGAAGCTAAAGTCAAAATTTCCAATCAACAACCCTCCACATTATAGCATTCCTTGGCCACGTCATGGGAACAAAATGCCAAAACAGTCAATGATTCCCCAGTCGCCACGATGTGGTAGCCTAAGGCCACACCATAGGGACTGGACTGAATAGCTCAATTGGGCTAAATCCATTTTCTTCCGATTCCAAGAGCTCCAAAGCTCAAATCGGGTCCTTTCCAAGGTCTTAATGGATAAATTTTCCAACTTTATCCCTTAAGACGTCCCTTTAAGTCTAGGTCTAAATTCTAAAGTTTAAAAATGCAACTTAATGCATGGAACTAGACCATTAAGCACTTAATCCATGAAATCTTCAATCCAAAACATCCAGAAGCACTTTAGGGGCCTTGATGAACCCTAAAAATGTAAACTTTATGGACATGCATCCCCTTGCATGTCCTTCCCCATATTTAGGTCAAAAGATGCAATATAACCTAAACTTCAAGCAAAGTTCCCAAATCACCACCAATTCCTAGATTTATGAGATATAATGCTCTTTAGACATAGAGAAACCATAAAGTTGCATACTTTATCTCTTCAACCCACACAAACCAGATCAAATGGACCATAAAATGATAAAAAAAAACCTAGATCTAATAAGAAAGACATGAAAAGATGGAAACTTCATGACTTACAAGGGTCCAAAAGATGCACACAAGTGAAAGGGGATGTTTGCTTGTTGAATCAATGCACCAAAGCACATTCTTCTTCTTCTTCTAGGCACCAAGTCTACCAAAATGAACCAAAAATCTCTAAGGGAGGCTAGGGTTTTGAGGTAAAGGTTTGGAGGCTGAACAAAATGCCCTAAACCTCTGGAAATGTTGTTTAAATATGGGAGGAAACCCTAAAATTACTTGCTTGGGCCAGAATAGCTGTCACGCCGTGGTCAACCTATTATCACATCGCACTCATTGAAAACACCCATTCCATTTAATCAATTCCATGTCATGGGCATCCTTGCACCACGTCGTCGCATAGAGTTTTTCCCAAAGACTCCATGTTTGGTCCCTGATAAATATTAAGCTAAACTAATCTGGAACACAGGTGTTACAACTCGCCCTCACTTAAATTAGATTTCGTCCTCGAAATCATTCTTACAACTTACTCTGCCACACCAGACGACCGTACTAGAACTTCCTAAATACCAATTAAGACTGAGAAGTCCTCACATACTGACGATCGCCTTCCAACAATTTTATTGAAGCCCAATCTTAGCAGAAATCACATACCCTGAAGAAGAACGAACCTTAACGCTTCGCCCTCAACCAACAAAATAGAGTCTAACTACTCTGACTGAACACTGAAAACCTATACTTCGTCTGACTTCCAGACAGAAAAAACTATTCCATGCTACATCCATATGGACTCCATTTCACAACTACACCGAAAAAACTCCTCCGACCCTGAATTATCATACGTTTAACTAAACAATCGATACCTTGACCATTCACCGATAATCTTGATGCTTAAAATAAAGGCGACTCCCACCACAAGTCTCAACCATTGGTGTCGAACCATTACATAGCCCACATCCTAATAACCAAAATTTTGCATATCCGATCTATCCAAGATTCCATCATTCCACGTTGTCCTTCAACTAAGCTTGGATACAGAATCCCTAACCGTTTGCTGAAACTGACAACCCCACACACAGTCGCACAACGAGATTCCGACCAAGAGTCCAACTTACAAAGGATACCCTAGCCTACCTGCCACACGAATCTTGATGGGCTTTGAGCATTCTAACACTCCTATGGTGTACATGCAACCCTAGATGCTTTGGATCTATGTTTTCTCTAATATACATGCAAACTTTAAATATTCCAAAGCATCATCCTAACTAGCATACAATGGAGTATATATACTACAAATTCTAGTTAGATGACATACCTCTTGTTGTTCCTTGCTATCCTTGATGTGTTCGGCCTTTAAGAACTTAGCACCAATAGTATGAATGCCTCAAATGGAATCACAACACACCTTTGGACAAAGGAGACTTTTGAGAGAGTATCTTCTTGTACCAAAATCGGCTTGCCCTCTTGTGTATCACTTAAGTGCCAATTTTGGTAGCCTTAGGGTCTCTTATATAGTGTGGCAAACTAGGGTTACACCATGTAAACCCTAATGACTTTCCATATCCCTCATGCTCCATGGGTTAAAACCTCCATGGAGTATACATGGGTTACCACATGGGTTTAGCCCAACATGAAGAACTATGGATCATAAGCCCATTTTATAAGAATGAATGATTTACCAAATCAACCCCTTATATTTAATTAGTCTCTTTTGATCACAAAATTAATTCCAAATTAATTCTTGATCAATACTAATTAAATAATATGATTTCATATTAATATATTAGAACTTATAATATATTAATAAACCATAAATAACCTCGTCTCAAAAGTCCATCCTATCAAATTGTCCTGGTGATATGCAACCCAAGGACCATGCTACTCTCGGGTCAAGTACATACCAATTATAGTTATGGACTTAGACACTAGTCCAACAGTCTCCCACTTGGATAAGTCTAATAACTATTATTGCAAGTACGACTCCACAACCCGGCTAGCAATCGTAGCTCTTAAAAGCCGTTGTCGAACTCTGACCTAGTCAATGACGCGTCCATTAGATAAGAGATCATATATTCCTCCATTCTAAATATCATATGGACTGAGACATGGGTTATAATCATTCTCTTTGTCCATCTGTTGTTTCCCGATTTCCGATTTATGACGACTGACTAATTGAACAAATCAAATCAGTCCAGGCCTGTTGTCATCACTAAATCATCGAGGGGCCCACAGATATCGCTTTTATCCACATGGGGTAAAAGGAACGGATAAACTTCAACCCAAATGCTCGCTTGTACTTACTCATCGAATTACACACAACGATATGTTTTATAACACCAAGTTACTGGTGTATTTACATATGTCAACGTGCAACCGACTTGCAACTACAACTCACACGTCTTGGTTTCAAGAATATAAGATATTATCGTCTCATGATCACTCGTAATAAAATCCATGAAGTGATTCAAAT